CTTTTACCGCTTCTCAATTTCTATTCTTTAACAGCAAAAGTGTATCTCTTTCCGTTCTTATATTATGATATATCGGATGCTAGCAAATTATGTTTGGATACTTTTATTCTCATAGTAGTTACTTTGAAGATATATAATGGCAAAAAATCTATATTACTTTTCCAAAAAAATTAAGAGAACGAATTAATGACCAAACAAACCCAAATAACGTGTTCTTCTTCTTCAATCTCCTGAAACTTTTTATTTATATTCGATTTCATCACTATTGAAATTAAAAAGTCACGATATTTTATCATTTGTTACGGGAAAGTAAAATTAAAAAATCGCATACAAAGTCTTTTTGTTTTGTATTTTAAATTGAACAAACCGACAACTCTGTATTTAAAATTATCCGTATCATATATTTTAGAATTTACCCTCGGCTATGGCGTCTGCAACAACTTCTATGCTAGCGGCGTTCGTGGCCCTCGCAGACAACTTATGTACGTAACTTTCTATGTGCACTGCGGGCATGTGAACACACATTTTCAAAGTTATAAATAATTGATCCGGGAAATAGAGAACAAAACGGGAAAATGTTTGTTACGTAATGACGAATTTCTGATATTTATAATTGAGGGGAAGATGGAAGGAAAAAGAAAGCGTGCAAGACCAAGAATGGCACACAGTGAACAAATAATTTTCAAGGCAAAAGTGAATAGGCATTATTTAGGTGTTCATGCTCAATCGTCAACCTCACCGTCACTTCCCATCAGGATTTTTTTTATGATACCCAGAGACGGGATGAACAAGTCGTGCGCTTGGTGGTAAGCGACACGCCTGTCCATAACAGTTGCCACTCAGAGCTTTAAATCGCAAAGATCCGAAGTGCACTGCCTCTGCGCCCGTCACCCTGAGCCATAAATCAACAACTTCCATGTACCTGTAATTTTACTAATACCCTTACCTTTCAGGAAGGCAGTAAAGCTCACTAAATGGCTTGGCGGCAGAAATAGGCAAAGTGACAGTTCTTCCCAGGACGAACTTTTTCACAAGAAGCTCTACTGCTACTAATTAATAATTATTTAATAAAAAAGAATGTTAAAGTGAGCAGCTATGAAAAGGTCAAGCCTGGCTATGAATTGTGAGGAGTGGAGGAGGCTGCACCGACAGCAAACTGTAAGATAAAATCATTGACTTACAATTACATGGACGTCGGGTCCGCGCTAAAAAGTGTCCGCACTTGTAAGGCGCTAAAATCGTATACAGAGCGCCAAACTCCGCTTTAGTCTTCATTGGTTCGACTGACAGCGCGATACTGCGATGACATTACAATTTAAATTTCGAATAGGTTGACTTCGGACATTTTTTTCGTGGTTTTTGTATTAGACCCGTCGTCCATTTATTTGTAAGTCAATGGATAAAATGATGAAACTGCTTCCGCGGCTGAACGGTTCCCATGCTGGTCTGCCATGCATAGATCCCGAGTTCGATGACCGACCGGGAGAAATATTTGTATGGAGATTTATTTCTCCAGTGAGTTTGAGTGCAATTTAAGGTCGTCTATGTGTATGGCACCCGTGATACAGAGTTTCTTTATTGCGGGGCTATGAGTGCGTGCATAAAAAAATGATTACCGTTGATGGTTGAGTTTTCAATTCTCTCGCTTAAAATCGAACGCCACCGCCGTTCATTCACCTCAAAGCCATTGGTGTCGTTGGTGATCTTGGCTAGAATCTATTCCGACCAATTGGTAGCTTGATTCTCCAATAGTGTTGTTCGGAACATCTTTGTGCTTAAGGTCACATTTACGCATGCCCTGCTCAAGTTAGAGAGAAGGTACATTTAGTTCTCACTTTGATATTATTATATCTCATGTAGTATGTGTATTTCATTTGTGCGGTTGTGTGCGTACTCGCGTGCGTGCGTATATGCGTTTCTTTGTAATAAATAATAATATAGCATGATCATGATAAAAAATCAAATTTGTGCGGTTCCTTGGCCTAAAAAATGAAGCCCTGTCGTAAATGAAAACTGCGGCTTATTATTTTAATGCCTACCTTCATTATAGGTCGCAGTCACGTACAAAGGCTGAGTCCTTAGCCCGAAAACTTTCCTGACCTATGAAGTAGCGACGTAAACCATTTCAATGTTTTTTTATACAATTATTGCAGAGTAATTTAAATACATGTTGGTGGCTGAAAATACAGAATATGTTAGCTATCGGCTCGCTATTGATTTCTTATCATAGATTTGATATAGAAAAGTTAAATTCGCTTTTTATCTCTGCCATACAAACTTCCTTCGTAAAGAAATTTGCATGGAATAAGAAATTTATATGACAATGGAACATCTCGTTGCCTCCAATGAACACTACGTCAATTTTATTTTTTGGTGATTTTCTGTTATTTTTGTAAACAGCCATATTTATTTACTACTATTATGCTACCAAAATTTCGTGAAAAAGAAAATAAAGAAACAAGAAACAAAATAAAAACAGAGTAGGGCCACAAAATTAAGTTGGGGTAGTGCTCATTGGAGGTATCGATCTCAGATTGTTTGACGAGTTTGTCTTTATTCAGACATATATAATACAAGACATTACCGCAGGCAAAGTTTTCAATAAGTAAAGCGAAAAATACAGCCATAATAGGCAGGTGTAATAAGAGAATAAAACTTAATTAAGGGTGAAAATTTATTACAAAATGGTCAAGTATTTTCTCATAGAGTTGCAAGTTTTTTAAGTTGATATATAAAGTTAATGTTCATTAACAGCATAATTCCTTATATTGCCAGTATTATGTATTTATTTAAGCTTAATATTGCATAAATTCTGAGAATAGAAACCACGAACCCGCCGCTTGGCGTCCGCCGACGGATTATGATATCCGTCGGCGAAACATCGGCAGCTTTTTCAAGTGTTTAATGTATTTTATTTCTTAACAAAAGTACGTAAAATTCATGCAGATCAATACAGATTTTATAGAAACGTTTTTATTATTTATTGGTTAAAATGTTGTGAAATGTTTTGTTATATGGGAAATTGAATTAGTTTTTCGGATCTAAAACGGATATATATATTCTTTTTTTCAACCAACACGGTGACTGAGATGGTGCTAGTGAAAAACCATTTACGTCTAATATTAATGCAAACCCTATTCTAAATTATAGTTACGAAAATTATTAATTAATTTTTCATTCAATAAATAATTTTTATTTATTGTTATTTTATACAACAATCTCATTTTTATTTTACCAAAAACATCCATTCCAATTTAAGCTACGATTTGCAAAACATTTTAACAATACGCGCTTTCTTTTACTAAATTAAATTTACGTAGTAAAAGGAAATTAAAAAGTAGATTTAATAATTCTGTGTCACAAATGCATATATTTTTTAATAAAAATTTTACAAAAAGAATAGTTTTAATCTAAACCTGACCGCACAATAAAGTCCTGAGTAGGTTTATCCATGCACTGCAATCCATTGATGGAAGCTCTACTTGTAACGCGCGTAACCATTTCTGTGCAGTATTGTAGAAGCATGAAACGAAAATCTAAATTTTTCTCACACGATTTTAGCGCACCGACAGCGTGGTGTTAATATTTATTAAATTCATATGCTATTATTAAAACAATGTTTATTTTCAAACGAAATATACGTACCCAAGTATCAATTGAAGCATTTGAGTTATATATAATATCCATAATCCATTCCAGGCCTACGCTGTAAGAAAAATAGTTTACAGATTTTTTTTTAGCGTATATTAGGCGTAACTTAATTTTTTTTTTACGAGATTAAGTTATGGAACGAATAAGTAAAATATTTAGGAAGGGGATTTAGCATAACAGCACTTGGCCTTTCTTCCTGTAGGGCATGGTTTCTCAAACTTTTCCAAGGCCACACCGACCATTTCTAAAAAAGTGAAGAAGAAGAATCGCCCGTGTGTTGCATTGACGCGCATCTCCCTCGCTCCAATAACGGATGCTCGTCAAAGGGCGCGAAAATTCAACATATTGTATATACATCATTGACTTACAATTATATGGACGTCGGGTCCGCGCTAAAAAGTGTCCGCACTTTTAAGGCGCTAAAATCGTATACAGAGCGCGACACTCCGCTTTAGTCTTCATTTGTTCTACTGACAGCGCGATACTGCGATGACATTACAATTTAAATTTCGAATAGGTTGACTTGGGACATTTTTTTCGTGGTTTTTGTATTAGACCCGTCGTCCATTTATTTGTAAGTCAATGATATACATTTTTATATTAATGCATTATATTAGGTAGGCTCCTCATGGACCCCAGGTTAACATTTCATGTACCCCTTAGGGGTCCATGGATCACAGGTTAAGAAACCCTGTTCTAAGGCAAACTATAACCTAAGCTCGTAAAAAAGAGTTTGGTGCGCACCGGCAGGGCTTGGCTGACTTATTTCTTTTTTCGTAAAAATTTTGATTACGTCTACGTATTGTAAGGGACGACGTATCACGCGAGTAAACATATTCCTTTATATCCAATAATGTTATTTGGTATAATAACTTTTTATAAAAAACACCAATCTCAAAAGTTTGAGGAATTACATGCATGGTTTTGCCAAGTTTTATTGATATAAGTTAACGGAAACTGGGTGAAATCCAATAAATCGAATTCATCATCTACTTTGCCACCCTCAGAGGTAGGATTGAATAGAAACGCTACTGAGGTACCCCCTTTCCAACAAAAAAGGAATCATCGAAATTGGTTCACATATGTCCGAGTAATCGAAAAAACAGACTAATTGAGAACCTACTCCTTTTTGGAATCGGTTATATAATCTCCATTCGTTTGTGTTATTTTATTTGTTATTATATTCAAGTGACCTTTTTTACAAATACATTATGTAGATATGTAATTGAATCATTCACCTCTGTGTGTATTGTATCCTTGAATCCGATATCTGAAATTTTAATCACCTGATCTTCAAAGCCTTCGAAGTGTCTTTTCTTACATTTACTTAAAAGATGATTTATTTGCAGCAACAGAGTGAGCGCTACCTATCTTCAGCTTACGAGGGTGGAGCGGAGCTGTCCCCGGTTGCCCCAGCAACGTCGCCCGGATCCCCTCGGGACTGCACTTCGTGTCGGAAGCGAGAGCCCCCAGACGCGCCCCAACCTCCTCCGGACGACGCGTGCGCAGGCTGCGGCGCCCGTATCACAGACAGATACTACTTGCTCGCCCTGGAACGCCGCTGGCACACACCCTGTCTCCGCTGCTGCGAATGCAAAATGCCTCTGGACTCAGAGCAGCGCTGTTATGCAAGAGACAGCAACATTTTTTGCAAAAATGACTACTTTCGGTAAGTCACTTTATACCTAACGACTTCCTTTTTGGTCTGGATTCCATAATTGAAGCATTGGGAACAACAACGGCCTTCGGCACCCAAAACCTGTTTTGATTTTATTACATCAAAACATGTAAAATACTACCTAGTATCTTGTGACAAAAACACATTTCGATCTCCCTTCTAGATGGCGTGAGTTTCATTCATTTAGAAGATGATGCTCCGCCCTTGTGGCATAGATTATAAATGTGCGTTTGAATTTCGGACAAGTATCACCCGTAGTTTGTAATAGCTTATTTTAATGTAAAAAATGTCTATAAGGAACTCCTTCATCCTCAACATGAGGCATATAGGAGGTCAGTGAGAACTGATGAAGATGATACTGTCGATTTATTTCAACCCAGCGAATTTAATGAATGATTAAAAATACGTTTAAATTTTTTTCAATGTAACTTTTAAATGAGGCTGATTCACAATTTGTATCCTTAAAAACCAATAATATAATGAACGCCCCATTAATTTATCGGTTTGGTGCAACAAGGAGGGATAACACAGGGAAAAAAAATCAAAAGTTTCTAATTGTTTTAAAATAATAATAAGACCAGAAACTTTTAGCTAAATCATAGGATAAATAAATAATAAAGCTAGAAAGAGTCATATTATAAATATAAAAACAGATATAAGACATTAAAACTTTATTTTATATTTTCTCGGATCTCACTTTTACGTGATACGCCCTTGTTACATCCAAAATGCTTCAATTACCTTTTGGCTAGTAACGGGTCTTCTTCGTTCTTTCGTTTGTCTATGACGCGCTTTTGGCGGCATTATCCTCTTGTATACTCTCCACGAGTCAAATGAGTTGCTGCTTTAGCATCTACAACAAACAACTACAATACATAAAACAGATTAGAGAAACGTTTTATTAGCCCTCCTTAGCAGAGAAAATTGCGTAATTGTTGCCCTCGAATTTATTAATTATGGTTGATTATTTTTCAAGTAATTTTACGACATTGCATCGCGTGTTTATTGTCGCTTTAATGGAGTCGTAATATTATTAGTAGAGCTCATGTTGATTGAATTCAGTTTGTACCTGATGAAACACGTAAGCAATTTTAAAAGGTGATACAAAAATTATAGTAAAATTTTAGGGCGCCATGTTTAATCCTTCATAGTCTATATATAGAGTTGTTTTCAGGCCAGTCACAATATTCCTTTAAAGGTATTTTTTTTAAGTTAAACGCCCTCGGTGGCCCAACGTTTTGTACTATGGGTGCTGGATGAGAAGGTCCCGGTTTCGATTCCCGGTAGGACCAAATTGGGAAATTCACAATCTACATTGGTTTTGTTCTGGTGTTCTGTATACAGGTAATTCCCTGATTTGAAACTAGGCAATTGGTTTGTTTATTTGGCACATTATTATTATAACGCACATACTAATAATAAAGTACACACTTATAGCCCCGCACTAGGGAAACCCTGTATCGTGGGTGCCATGGACAGACACATGGACAACCACAAATTACACCCAAACTCACGAGAGAAATAACTGTAGGCAATACAAATATTTCTCCCGGCCCGGGATTCAAACTCAGGACCACGGCGTGGCATACTAGCATGGTAACCGTTTGGACTACCATGTGGTTCAGTTATTATTGTAAACCCGCGGACAATTTTGGAGAAAATATTTAATATTAACAATAATGGATATAAGCAGGCAAGAAAAATATTATTTTATTTGAATAAAGTTTTTAAATTAGATTTAAGACCACATGTAAACTCAAAATCCATGGCGTAATTGGCAGGTAAACAAACTAAACAATGTGCACTTGCCACTTGTGAAAATTTTACGTTTTTATTGGCTAGTGCCCAAAATCCAAAATGAAAAAAAAAAAAGTTAAATGAAGAAAAAACACAAGGTAATAGGAATATTTTATTTAAATCATAATGAAACCAATACTGTGTTACCCTGGTTCCAACAACAAAAAAGAATCATCGAAATCAATTTACAATTGCCGGAATAATCGCGTAACAAACACACAAAAAAAGGGTAATTGACGACCTCCTCTTTTTTAAGTCGGCTAAAAATGATTGAACGAAAAACACACGAGGTAAAAAAACACGCCCACCTTAGAGGATGGAAAAAAACGCGAACGGTGAATACGTTCAGGTTTCTTTATTTACTAATGTATGACGTCACGTGGTACCTACGTGTGGTTATACATTGGAAATATAAATAATTCAGATATTTCACAATAATATTGATTATGAATTACATTTTTTTGCTGCCCGATTGCTTATTCTACTACGAGGCAAAAGTTGTCCTCGCCACCTATTTTTTTCTTCAAAAACTCTAGAGAGGCGCCTCATGTGACAATCGGCAAGGATTAGAAAGTTCACTTATCTGACATCAGTCCCCCGCAGCGCTCACCACTAACTTATGACGGAAGTAAACTTAACGATTCCTGATAACTCACTTATCTCACTACCTTCGCAGTATACAAATGTTTCTTTTATTCTTAGACATATATATCCTCCGCCTAATATTTAAAATAAGTGCATAAATTTTGATACAAGTATTTTGTATAAAGTGGCGACGAGGTATTCAAGCAGGTGCCGCCTACATTCCGCTAGAGGTATGCCGATTTATGAAATATTGCAGTTCAAAATAATCCGGCATTTATTAATTTCTCACATGTTTTAAATTATCAAAATGTTCTATTGTTCTTGGCGCAAGACCATCTCCCTGCGAAACACCTGTTATTCGCGCATTAGGCGTCTTGGTACTGTTCAAGACCATAGAAAAGTTTATACAAAGCCTAGATTCCGGGCATGTGCCGTGATTTCGGTGCGTAGTACGTCACCGTGGTAATCTGATGTACGTTTTACTGCTGTACCAAGCCACAACTCACTCTTCGCTATCTCACGGCAGTGGACACGTCGCATCTGTACAGCCCATCTCTACGGGGCGCGGGTGGCGCAAGTCTCTAGCAGTTAGCGACTCTCGCTTTACCGCTCCACAATACGTTCAAATGAATTAAGAACATTTTCATAGCAAACTGTTTTCTTTGGCGTACAAAACGGACTAGTCTGAAGGGTACATATCGAGTTCGTTACACAGTGAAAAGAGGATAAATATATAAATCTCGTTTGTCCAATTAAGAACTATCTGCAGGTGTTTTCAGTAATATAAACTCGAACAATATTCGATCTGTTACCTACAGCGAAGAACAATAAACGAAAATTGCAATGTCCTGAGAATAAGTTGTCTTGCACATACTCGTAGGTTTGTGTTCTATGGATAGGTCTATATGTGCGATGCAATTTTTAGTTTAGTAATTTTGGTATGGGAAAGCGGTGGCAGTTAAGTGAGACTGTACTTATAAGTTTCTAAGTTGCAAACATTTCTGAATGACTAGCTCTCGCTACCTGCATGGCGAAGATGGTTTTGTTTTTTAAAATACCAAGGAGAAGTGTGAAGTCTCCAACCCACATCGGGCAGGCGTGGCGGAACATGGTTTCAATCCTTAGACGTGACACGGCCAGCTGGTTGACGATACATATAGAATTCTATGTCACTTGCTTATGTGAATGTATTGAGATGCGTATACTTTAAGTAGGTACGACCAAAAGGCCATTAGCGAAATTTCTTTATAAAAAAGAAAATTCGCCATGGCCCAATATACTCATGGACATTGTTCAGAGGAACGTTAAAAAACGTCACATACTAGAGCCACATATTAGACATGCAACGGTAGTGTCATAACGGAAACAGAAACGGAAGCGGATGCGGATGCGGAAGCGCAAGTGTAAATACTATAAAGATTACATAAATTGCACTAAATACAACTGATAAGAACCACGCGCCCCACCGCCATGCTATACGCGAACCATCGCGAACGTTATAATTTTTTTTTCGTAATATCAAGTGACGGGACGAACAAGTCGTGTACCTGATGGTAAGCTATACGCCTGTTCGTAACAGTTGCAGTGCCACTAAGAGCTTTAAATCGCAAAGATCTGAGGCGCACTGCCACCTTGAGACATAAGTTGACAGGTCCCATGTGCCGCTGACATTACTGCTTGGCGGCAGAAATAGATAAGGTGGCAGTACTAAAGCTTCTGATAAAAGTTGCGGAAGCAGATACGGAAATAGATGTAAAAAAGCATGCGGAGTTTCCGCAGTTGCGGAAACAGAAGCAGAGGTCTGTTGCTTCACTCCCACATATACTGCCCTTCTTATAACAACTAACGTAATCGACATTTTTAACGAAATTGAGTTATTAACTTAAGATATTATATGAAATCAGCGAAACTAGATCTATCCTTTAAGAACGGATTTTTGACAATATTATTTAGCATACCATGCCGGACGCTGTACCAACTAAGCCACGGAACGAACCGTTGAACCTCATGAATTTTTCTGTTTGTTGTCGTGTCTTCATATTTCGTTTTTCAACAACTTTTTAACCGTAGCGCCATCTATGAGGAATCTTAAGTATTTCGTCACCCAGTTACCTTTACAGCTACCAGCCCTGGCTAGAGATGTCGCTATTCATTGTATTTAATTTTTTATTGAATTGATATTCAATTATTTTTTGTTGTGAAATTACTCCACTTGTTTGTTATGATTATTAATACAAAGATCGAACACTCAGAAAAAAATCTTTCGATTCGGCTGCATTCCAGCCGACATCTACTAGCATGCCGCTATTCAGTTTTATTCTTAAGGCGAGTTCCGGAGGAGAGGCGGAAAAACTGTTTTACTTCATCAAATGGTTTTGGTATTTACTATAAGAATGTTGTTTAATGACTGTGTTAATTCTTTACACTATAGGATGTACTTTACTCGATCGTATAAAATCTCGAAAATAGGCTAAAATAAGTCGACAACGAATTATGAATGAAATATCTAACTTCGTACTTCATTTTTATATAGAGATATTTCTCTTTAAATACTACAGAGAACCTGTTACATTTTGGTTTTCAACTGTAGCCCTATCGACTCATCCGTT